GGCACATTGGACACTGATGGCRGCCAGCTCAACCCAAACCCCCAGAGCCACGAGCTATCACAGCTATTGAGATGTTTGACAGAAGGATCCCAAAACAGTCTGCAGTAATTGCTTGATATAAATACTCCTTTATGCTTTTGGAAAATCAAAATCTACCCAGCAAATCAGCTCCTCTGATCCACTGTAATCAAGAAGCAAAGCACGCATAACATTGCAATATAAACAGCGTTTGCAGAGGGGTGAGGCGAGGAGGGGGAGCTGGCTTAACTTGGCAGGTCCTGGAGCGATAGCTGCCCTTTTTTATTAATTTGGTTTTTAATTCGCATCTGATTTCCAGTGGGATTTTTAGTTCAGGAAAACGCGGCACAAACCTCCAAGCTTGAGCAAAGATGCAGCTGACTAGGGGGTCTCGAGAGGAGCATTTCCAAAGCAGCAGGGCTGTACTTACAGGTAAGCTGTCAGAGGGCTCAGGCTGCCAGGGACTTCCGAAAGCCCCAGCTCGGAGCAGTCGACCGAGAGCATGACGCCGTCCTCCTCGCAGAGGCACTGCGGTGGGCACGAGGGTGCAGCATCTTTCCCCGCACACACTGCCAGGAAGGGGAGCGAGGCGGCCAGGAGAAYGCCCCAGGAGAAGAGCGTGCCCATCCTCACGCTGACTGCAGCCCGCGGGACCGGCGCGCCGTGCTCTTGGGTCGCCCTGTGCCTCTCGTCCGCTCGGGATCGAGCGCTCCTTCACATGCTGCGGGCACGGTGCCTTGTGCCGCCCGGAGTGCGGCGAGGATGCAGCCAGGGAAGGGAAGGCATTGCTGAATGATCTTGGTTATTGGGTTTCAAGGGCTGGGCAGAGGCATGAGGCGCTCCAATGGGAGGAGTTAAACTTTCTACTCTTTCCCCTCTCTCTCCCTTAGAGCTGGCAGGAATTCCATTCAAAGGGGAGAAAGGGAGGGGAAAAAAAAAAGGAAAAAGAAAAAAAAAGAAGAAACCTCAATAAATAAAGACCTGTTCACAGCTCCAGGACCTGTGCTTGTTTTGTACCAGTGTTTTTGTTAGATAGCAGTGCCGGGGAAGGCAAAGCTGGTTCTGGCGGTGCAGAGGAGTATAAATGGGGAGGCAGGAGTACCCAACAAGCATTTGAAGTGCTCCAGACTTTGGGATACTGAAATATAACCCCAGATAAAGGACTCTGTGTGCCCGTGGTGACTGCTAAAGCCAGCTGCAACTGGAAAACCTGTATGCAGGTGAGGAAAAGGCAGCGGGGAGCTCACATCTGGCGGATTGCTGTGTGCAGGTGGGTCTGCCAGGGTCTGACCTTCATTCAGGGCTGCCCCCACATGCTGCCAAAGCAGCCCCTCCATTGCTCCAAAGTCCATGTGTTGAGCAGGGTTTGGGGTGGGAGCTGCAGGGGATGCAGCGGCAGTGCCGTGGTGCTCAGCACGGCAGGAACTCCTCCTGGCAGAGCTTCCCTGGGCGTTTGCAGCTGCAGCATCGCGCAGAGCCTGCCTGGGTGCCTGCACTGGCTGCACGTGCAGCAGYGGCACAGCACGGACACCAAAGGCAGGTGCCCAGTTCTGAATGCTCCAAGAGCTGTTGCTAACCACGGGTAGAATGGCCAGAGACCAAAGCAGAGCAATAGTCTGAGGAGCGGGGATCAAGGTGACGCGATGCCAGCATGAGAGGCTGACTGGTTGCCCAGTAGGCCTGGGCAGAACTGGAGTTCTCCTATGCAGAAAGGGTAGGTCTGGTTGAAATGGGGGGAACACTGTGTGTCTGCTCAGACCAAGGACCAGAGCTATCTCAGCAGGTGTGGAATGCACAAGCATCAGACTGAGGGTTGTTGCTATTGGGTGTGAGGGAGCTACTGAATCTGGTCAGCGAAGGAGAGAGGGATTCCTTTAGCAACACCCAGGCTTGTATGCAAAAGGGATGCCTGGAGCATCTGCAGTGAGAGAAATCTGCAAAGCTTAGCTCTACACAGCCTTTCCACTCCTCTCTCATGGCTGCRCTTACTGGCTGTTCGGAAATTTGGAGTCGATTTGGAGAAAGCGTCAGGCCTATCGCTGTGGTCCTGGCTGCAACAGCAGCTTTTATCTCTATTTTCCTCCTCTCACACTCCTTCTCCAGCTTAAGCAGACAGACAACAACCACATTGCAGCTCCTGGCAATTTCTCAGTCACCGAATTCTCCTCGAGGATGCAGAGCTCTGGCTGAGCACACAATTAATAGAGCACTTAACAAAAACGCATTGAAGAGATTCCTACTGAAAACTGCCATCTTGCTGAAATGAAGCCACTTCCCTAGGAAGACATTGATTGCAATGACATTTTTCACATCGTTTTTGGAGCAACACGGAGCTTTGCTCTGCTTTTTCCATTTTATTTTGACTTTTTCATTTGCTCTTTAGTGCAGCTTGGCTTTGGTGTTTCATTTCCATGTTCTGTTTTTCAGACCCAATGATACATATGAACATTTGAAGTGTTCAGTTACTGGATGTTCTTGTGGGCTGCCTGGCTGCTGGCAAAACGAAGAGCCGGTGAGCCAATCATCAGGTCAGTAAGCTTTGATGTTTCCATGGAAAACCCGGAATTCCTGCATAAATCCTGCTGAGGTGGAAGTGTCACTTTTCAGCCATTCTCATTTAAATTGAAGTTCATTGTAAGCAGTGTGGGCTTATTAAAGGGAGGGAGAACTCCAGATTCAGTTCATTCCTATTAATGTAAATGTGTGGTTTTTTTTCCAAGGCTCACATGTGTTTGTGTATTGTCCTCTAGTGGCAGGATGCAGATTTGGRAGGTGAGAGATCAGCTCCAGAGCAAGCTGAGGCCGTCAAGGTTTGGGAAGAGCAGAAAGCATCCCAAACGAGCAGGGATGTCTCAGTGCAGCTGSAGCCAGGTGCCTGGTGCTTTGTATGTGTCCGCACTGCTTGTAAGCCCATGGAATACTGCAGGCAGCCTTGGGAGGTCACCAGTAAGGGCACAGGCCAGAGGAATTTTCCTTGTGCCCATGCTCCCACCAGGGCCATCCAAAGGCTGAAATACCACAGCCAGGCTGGGAGTGAGTCTAGAACCAGCAAGGCCTCCCGTAGGCTTTCCAAAATGTGAAAGCAAACACTTGAAGACAAGCACAAAGCCCCAGTGCTGCCCTGCTGCTTGGCTCAGGCAGACTGAGGGCATCCATGTTCCCAGTTAGCTGGAAAGACTGGTGCCAATGGAGYTGCACATGAAAGGAAAGGACTGGTTCCTCCCTGATGCTAAAGGCACAGGATACAAGGTGCCTTGGATGAGATTTAACTCTTTGCCCTAGCAGAGTCTGCTTACAAAGTGTCCCCCCCGTAATGGGACAGGCTGGTGGCTCCATGCCCTGCAGGGAGGAGAGACAGAGGTGCAGAGTTAGGGGAAGGACCTGCAGGACCGGACCCCTGACCAAAAGTGTCCTATCTGTTGGAAGTCTTACTGGCCTCCCAGGTCAGAGTCCATGTCCTGACTGGGTCAGGGAGCTGAGGCCATGGCCAGCCCCGTGTGTGCAGGTGTTCAGGATGGAGCCTGACCTCTGTGGATGCAGCAACCATGGCATCCTAACAGGAGGATTTCCGCTCATAGTTCAAATTTGGCCAGTCTAAAACCCTAAGAGCTTCTGCTCTCAAGGATGTGTCTGACAGTGGTGACAGAGGACGCTGGAGATCCTGGGCAGTGAGAGGCTGYAGCTCTGCTGCTCCCTGGTGCTGCTGCGGCTCAAGTGCAAGAGGTTGCCCGGCACAACTGAGTGAGCAGTGGGGATTCTTCACCTCAGCATGGACACGGTCAGGGCAGCCACGATCTGCACCAGACGCCTGATACCACAGCAGTGCTCAGCACGGTGCTGGCTGTGGTTGCATTGGCAGRTGCCATGGACTTCCTTTGGCCGAAGCAATGCCTTGTTACTGCATCAGAGGGAAGTGCAGCTACTTCTGGGCTCTCTGTGTCCTGGATGGATCAGGGGAAAGGGGAGAAGCTAGGGCAGATTGTACCACACCATAGGTGCTATGGTGTCCCAGCACTCCTGGAAGGATTCCGTGGCTGAAGCTCCCAAGGAGCTGGTGGGCTGGGTGCCGCTGGCTCTTCTCTTGCTTGGTATTACTAGCCTACCCTGGCCTCTCTCTGACAGCCTCAGGATCAGGGCAGGGACAAGGCATCCAAACGCACATGGTCTTTCTCATCTGAAGGGTCTTGCCCTCTGCACGAGGACTGCTGGAGAAGGGTGGCAGCCGGATGCTGCCAGACTGGAGCAGGCTACATGTGAAGAACAACACAGCACGGTCCAGAACACACTGGGCGGCCTGAGTTGAAGGCTTGTTTTGTTTTACTGTTTTGTTGTCTCTCTCCCCTTCTGGGTTTCATGGCTCTGAGCTGCAGGGCTGGAAAATTATTCATCGAAACCGCAGCTCCCATGACACCCTCTGTAAGCATCTGTGGCCCCAGATTCCACCACAGCAGTGAGTGGGAGGTCATAAATTCATCATCCTTAGCAAGTCAGTCTCCTGTTAGATAGGGATGTGAAACGCCGTGATGGGCTCTACCACTATGCAGCCACACGGAGCTGGCCTGGTGTAACCTGTTGGCCAGCTTGCACAACATATTCCTGTTTCTGGCCTGCTGCCTCTCATGCTCGTGGGGAATGCTCCTTTGTGTAGCTTGTGCTTCACTTGCAGATGTCCACAGGTCCAGCACGGCTGCTGGCATTGCTGGAGACAGCGCTGCACGAGCCAGGCATGAGGGCTCTGGGTTWACTTGTTCCCGGACTTAATGGCAGCTCTGCAGACAATAACATGCCTCACATCTTATGCACTTCAATTAGAATCATAGAATCCTTAAGGTTGGAAGGGACCTTTAGAGATCACCTAGTCCAACCCCCCTGCACATTCTTGACAGCTTCTGGGACTCACAACCCTGGGTGTTTTATGCATCACAAGCCATGGTGGCACACACAGTTTCGAACATTTCTCAGCTTTCAGTGGACATTGCACACCTTGAATAAGCGTTTATTGAACACTAGGCTAAAGCTTGCATCTACTTACATCTTTAATACCTAACTGTGCTCAGCATCTGGGATTTCCAAGCCACACTTAGTAAACGAAAGCCACAGAATTTGTCCGAATCTACAGGTGGGGAAATGCTGGGTTTTGCTCCAGGTATGGCTCCTCTCTCCTCGGTTTGAGGGGATGACCACTGGTCTTCCTAATATCAGCAGCTCCCTCTCCCTCTCAAATCCCCCTCAAATTCAGAATTTGAACCATGGCTCTGACATGTGTGCACACAGGCTGTAGTGCCTGGGCTGGCCAAAGACCCCCATTGCTCATGGCCATCCTGGATAGGGACACAGCTGCCCTTTGGGAATGGGTACTTTGTGGCMGCAGATGTCCTGGAGCATTCCAGGACCCCAGGAAAGCCAACCCGCTTGTAAGAGTACACCCTTTCCTAGGGGTTCATGTTGTTGGCATCTAGCAGTGATCCATCATCCAAGACAGGTCTGTTCCCGGGATGTTCTGCCCACAGCAACATTTGACATCTCAGTGCACGCTGCACCCACGAGATGTCCATGCAGTCACGGGCTTTCATCACGCATTAACAACCTGCTGGAGTCAGGGTCTGCAGAGAGGCTCATCCATCCTGCACCGAGGTGCAGAAGCACTGCAGGACTCCAGAGCAAGGACAATGTGCTGCAATTAGGTTAATAAATYCTCCAGACACCAGGAATGTGAGGGACTTCAGCAGACTGGGATAGGACATGAGGAGTCCTGATGTCTCTGTCAGCACCTGTAATCCATGTAGGACCCATGGCTGTACCCAGGTGGGTCCCCTCTTGATGCAGCACTCATTTCTGCCACGTGTCCCACAATGTCCCACGGTGCTCCTGCAGCTTCTGGCTTGGGYTAAGACCCTGCAGCAGCGGAGTGAAGGATGGTGCCAGGAAGTGCTGAGAGGGTTTAGGACTGTTTTTGAGCAATGATGTCCCGGATGCACGTGTACAGGAACATGTACTGGTCCTACAAAAGAGAAAAGTGTTTCTGAAATCAGGTTTTTGACAAGGTGGCTCAGGCCTGCTGATTGCAGGATTAGACCTGCAGTTTGCTTTAAAAGTGCCTGCAACTGCTTCATGAAGAAGATGATTAACTAACAGCATCTGTGGTAGAGCAAGACTGACTGTCTCAAATGGTCCAAGTCTGTCCTATGTAACAAGAACTATCTGGAAAGGAAAATTAAGGCGTGGAGTTTTACATACAATTTCTTTTTCTTTTTCTTTTTCTTTTTCTTTTTCTTTTTCTTTTTCTTTTTCTTTTTCTTTTTCTTTTTCTTTTTCTTTTTCTTTTTCTTTTTCT